TTTTTTTTGCAAAACTGTTTTAATTCGTATATTACGTATATTTAATTAAATACAACAACAAAGATTAGATTTTAATAAATTGCAAAATTAAGAAAATTAACAAATTTTTTTGCACAAAGGAGGTTTCAATGGAATATCGAGAATGTGCAGTGGAGAAAAATATAAGCCTTCTACGAACAGTTGGAGTCATATTCCTGATATGTATAATCCACGTAGCAACTTTGCTATTGAAGTCATCGATGATATGATTTTTGCCATTGGCGGTTTTAATGGCGTCACTACGACATATCAGGTGGAATGTTATGACGAAAAGACAAACGAATGGTAATTCATTCTTTGCATCTTGTCTATCTTGTTAATAAATTATAAAAATCACAGATAAGAAAAACCAACAGGGGGTACGTTGACGTACGAATAGAAATGTAACAGTAATGATATATTGAAAAAACGTTTGTATAAAAATTAATAATTAGGTTAATCTTCTAGACGTACTTAATATTTGCGACTTTTTTAAATATTTATTTCTACAACGTTAAACACAGGTATGAGGCAACAGATATGAATATATGCAGATCGGCATTATCCGCTTGCGTTATTATGGGTCTTCCAAATGTATACGATTATATTCACAAGCATCGAGAACGCTTAATGGAGGAGAAGCGTCAAAAGTTACTCGCCCACGAAGTACGTCGAAGTCAGCATCAGCAACAGCAACAGGAGCAGGAGCAAATGAGACAAATTTCGCAAGTTGGCCAAACAATACCGACACCACCACCTCTACCACGGATAAATGAAAACGATCATAATAATAATCGCCGACGCTAAAGCCAAAACATCATTATTACGTAAATCAATCTATGTAACATCTGTCTCGTTTAATTGACCTCCGTCATGTAAATTTTTGGATTATTGCCAGACGCAACACCAAATGGCGATCAAAAAAAAAAACGAGAGATAAAACTAAGAACCGAATAAGGGTTAAATTATAAATTATCAATATCAGTATAGAGAGATATTTATACACTTGCCAATTACTACTTTTGTCTATTCACAAAGAAAATATTTTCAGATTACTCTTTACTCACTTTTGTTAAATTAAATTTTTTTGATACTCCAGATATTTCTATTGACTCTTTTTGCGATATGATTTTACACGTGTTATTTAGTACCATCTCGAATAATTAAAGTAATTAAGATAATGGAAGAAATAAAGAAAAATATCCATTGCTTTTAAATAGATTAATGATTTATTATCGATTTCATTTTACGTAATAACACTTAAGATGATAATGCAAATTAGACTAATTACATTGTGCGGACAAGATAAATGGTAAAGTGAGGTGGTAAAATACAGGAAATAAAATTTTCAAAGGTAGATTTTGATGCTAACATGAAAAATTTCACATTTAAGAGATGTTTAATGGACGTTTTTCAAATATAATGTCATTTATACAATTGCATGCAACAGTCCTGCTTGTAACAAGAAACAAAATTATTATAATCTGTACGATAATGAATATTTACTTATTCTATCACGCAAGTGAAAGTTTATTACACTTATACAACTGCCTTTAATTTAAATACTGCAAATAAATTAATTTGCAAAAAATAATAACTTTCTCTTATAATTTTTATAAAATTGTAAGTACATTATTATTATATGTTTTTCTC